AGAGAGAGAGAGAGAGAGAGAGAGAGAGAGAGAGAGAGAGAGAGAGACAGACAGACAGACAGATGGACACAGAGACAGACAGGGAGATTCCACTTTCTGAGTGAGGTCGTAGAACCAGTAGTTTTCTTAATGGAGTCTGGTTAGCAGCTGGTTGACGTCGTGATTAATGAACGAGAGACACGTTAACTAGCTCACGTGGTATCTGGCTACACGTCACTAACAGCTTCATTAATAACTGATCAATACACCCGCTGATTATCGATCCGCAGCTGAAAGGACAGTTCTCAACAGAACAAAAGACATTAGCACACTTGCTAACAATGCTAACAAAGCCGCCTGTCTCGTGCGCCTCACCTTTGTCCTCGCGCCGGTCGGCCGCCATCACAGCGGCTATGACGCGCTCCGGGCACAAAGCTTCAGTTAAATAAACAAACCTAACAGTTTTACTGTTTTGATTCAAACACGAAATAATCAGAACAAAACAGACGAGAGAGCCGCTGAGAGACAGAAAATGGCGGATTGAGTCTGTTGTTGTAGCTTCTTCTTCTGCTGGTGTACAAAAGCAGCGTCCTGGTGAACTACCGCCACCTGTCGGACAGAGAGGCCACTTTCGGTTCTTCTTAAAGTTTTAATAAAGCAGCTATTCATTTTATTTTACTTTAAATGATCAGCAATAATATATATGCTGGCTAGCTAGATGCAATATATATAATTAGCTTAGTTCCTGTAAATAAAACTATCCATGAAAAAATATGTTTCTATTATTATAAAATTATTATTAATAATATAATATAATAATAATCATTTATACATTACATTACAGTCATTTAGCAGACGCTTTTATCCAAAGCGACTTACAATTCAGAGTCTATCACATTTCTACACCATAGGCACAGCTACGGGAGCAATTTGGGGTTAAGTGTCTTGCTCAAGGACATATCGACATGTGACTAGCAGAGCCGGAGCCGGGGACCGACGCTCTGATTGAAGGACGGCCCTGCTATCCACTTAGCCACAGTCGCCAGTCGACTTCTTGTCCTTGCGTTTTAATACAATGGTTATTTTATATTTTATTTTTAATTATCAGCAATATATATATGCTCGCTAGCTGGATTAAATATGTAATTACCACAATCTGTATGATTCTATATTAGGTTATGAAATGGACATATACATTAAATCACACTCAGTGTCTCAATGTGTTCTCTATAATCTTAACAACTAAACAGTATTGTATTCATGAAAATAAATATTGTTATTGTAGTACAACATGGAAAAGACACAATAACTAAACTTTGAATAACTGCTCAAATTTGTCTGTTTACACAAATATCTGTTAAAAAAATAGATGAAAACAAACGTTTATTCATTTGGATTTTTTAATCCGACCTCACACCGAACAGCGATTTCTAGACCGGAATCTAGGTAATTACTGCAGGAGTGTGGGGGATTTTATTTTGAAAATCCCACACCGGAAGTGGTTCGTCTTGACGCGCAGCCCGTCTTGTCCAACCGGAAGTCCACGTCAGTACGGAGACCGGGACTGAAGACAAACTTTAACCCGAACTGAAGCTGTTTGAATTTAAACCAGTTTCTTTTTTTAAATTAAATCTTATTTTCTTTTTCTGTTTTGGGGGGACTGAAAATGGCGGACGACGCCACGCGCAGGGCCGTGTCGCAGATCCCGCTGCAGAAGACGCACGCGGGGCCGCGGGACCGCGCGCTGTGGCCGCAGCGGCTGAAGGAGGAGTACCAGGCTCTGATCCACTTCGTGGAGCAGAATAAGGCGGCGGACAACGACTGGTTCCGCCTCGAGTCCAACGCGGACGGCACGCGCTGGACCGGCACGTGCTGGTTCATCCACGAGCTGCTGCGCTACGACTTCCAGCTCGAGTTCGACATCCCGGTGACGTACCCTAACACCGCGCCCGAGGTCGCGATCCCGGAGCTGGACGGTAAGACCGCGAAGATGTACCGCGGCGGAAAGATCTGCCTCACGGACCACTTTGCGCCGCTCTGGGCCCGGAACGCGCCGCGCTTCGGTCTCGCGCACCTGATGGCGCTGGGACTCGGACCCTGGCTCGCGGTGGAGATCCCGGACCTGATCAGCAAGGGTCACGTGGTCCACAAGGAGCAGCAGCGTGAGGCGGCGGCGGTGGAGTGACGTCACCGGACGAACACGTTGAACATTGATATAATAAATCTGAAATAAACTTAAATTAATTTCACTATTTGCTGGAGATTAATGTGAAGTTGGAACAAGTTTGAAGATAGAAATATTCAGTGAAAATGTTCTGTAGCAATTAAAAACAAGTTCAGAGTTGATTCTGAGTAAAACATTAAAACGTTATGGACATAAACATACTCACAGGAACATCAGATGATTCATTAATACAAGTTAAAGAACTCATCACAATATGAACAGTCTGCTCACAACCAGGAGGGACTTTGAATGACAGCTGACATTTTATTTTAAGTATATGTATATTATATATAAAATGTTCTGCAGTTTGAGATAGTGTTTGAAGAGAAATTAGTTTTATTTTATCAAATTATACTGTTTATTTTTTATATATTATTTGGATGTCTCTTTTTAATAAATGCATTAATACACATATTAATCAGTCCAAATAATGAGGGAAGTTTGATCAGAGTTGTATTTAAACTTATAATTAGTTATAACTTCTTTATATTAAATGTTACATTAATGACTGTGGACGATTTTGAACTGAAAACAGAATTTAGATGTAATTTTTGTGCTTTAATTCATAAATGATGAAGTTTATGGTTATATAAAGGACATTGTAGACATCGTGACAAACATTTATTATTATTATTATTATTATACTTATTATGTGAGTTGATGTCATCCAGATAATAAAAAGTCAGCTGTTAGTTTTATTTTCATCTTTATTTGTAGTTTCGGTGTTTGTAGTTTCCTTCTCAGTAAACTTGAATAAGCTCCACCCACTCGGCTGGAGGCCACACCCCATTCTCCTGCACGTTGCTAGGCGACGACTTCCAGTCCCAGCTCCTCACCGGGACGTTCCAGGTGGAACCGTAGTTCGCCGTCACGTAGTCGAGCGTTTCACAGGGAACACGAACCTTCAGCTCCAGAAACTCCGCCCAGCACAACGAGAACCGGGGGAAGATGTACCTATGTACAAAAACACAAAAAATACTTCATAACAAAGTCAGTGGCGGGCCTTCAAGGCCTTCTCTGCTGGCCTAAACAGAATCACAAAGTTATAGATATTTTATAATTTAAATTTTTTTCTTAAATACACTACATGTATTATAATTTATATAAATATTTTTCCCATTATCTTATGTTCTCATTGCACAGCTACTGTCTTCCTCAGTGGCTCTGCTTCCAGTGCAGCTTGTTTTAAGTAGAGCTTTTATCCAATCAGATCTCACCTCTGTGTCTCTAGGTAAGAACAGAGGCAGAGGCCTGCAGACTCACAAGTGAATCCATGTGCAGTTTAAGTGAATGGGGACGATATTGTTGATTGTCATATTCTTCAACCAATCAGATCTTTAGTTTGACATGTTAGGCATATTCTTTGACGTGTCAGAGCCTGCTAGCTGGCCTACAACTACGTCAGCATTACGTGCAGCTCAGTTTTCATGTGCAGCTCTGCAGTGAGGTGCAGCGTGCGCTGTGATTGGTCAGTGGGCGAGCACGTGACTCGTGAAACGAAATTTACAGCAGAGGCTTAGTCGGAGTAGTATCCGTAGTAAGAGTTCAAATTGAAAGATATGGAAGAAATGACATTTTTTGCATTTTGCTTGGTGTAGATTTTGTTTTTTTTTTACCTAGCTTTGTTTTTTAACACTCAATGGCTGAAGGAGGAGAAACAGATTTGTGAGTTGGAATTTAACCGTGAGATTAAACTCTGTCAACAAAGAAAGGAGGATGTGATCAGCATTTGGTAAGTCAACTGGTTCATTTTTTTTACTCGAGTGTGTAGCAGAATGCGTGTTGCTGCTGTTGTTTTCCCGTTAAGCTAGTTCAGCGTAGCCTCTCAGAACACTTGCGGAGCCCCAGCTGTTTTTTGTTCCGGTTCAGAGGTCACACAGCCCGTTGTCTCCTACATGAGCACAGAAAACATTTTATTTCCCACAATTTAAGCTTCTGCATTTTCCAAATGCACTAGTATTATTCAAACGTATTGTTCGGTTTGTAAGCCTCGTACCGAACGGTTTAATACGAATACGTGTATTATTACACCCCTAGAAACAAATAATAACCGTAGTTGTGGCGCCATCATGAGGTCATAAGGTGGTATTTCAGCTGCAGGACAGCAGTGAAGGCCCAGGTATAAAATGCACGGCCCGCCACTGAACAAGGTTTATAACACCGAGAAACAAGATGTACCTGGTGTACAAAAACACAAAAAATAAAGAGTTGATAATGGTGAGAAATTTATAACAAAACATTTTCATGAATTTATAGCAAAAAACTGTTACACTGTGAAACTTCCAGTTTCAAAATAAAATGTGGAGACGTAACAAAAACTATTTTTTTACTTTTTCACAAAAATCCCCTCAACATCAAAAAACAAATTTACCAACAAACGTAAACAATCTGCCATAAAAATACTTAGTTTATTAGTATGATTAAATTACTTCCATTAATATTTAGGGTTTTTAAAAACAGTTTTAAAATTAAATAACAGAAACATTTACTTGAACTTCTTTCCACTCTTCGCCTGAGTTCCTCCGTTCCAAACGACGCCTCCATCATCGTAGAAAAAGAAAACGTCCAGTTTGACGTCGTCACTCAGAAAGGAAAGTTCCAGACTGTCCCCCACCTGCATTTCAAAATAAAACATGCCATCAAAATAAAATACACACTTCAGAATCAATTCATACCAACTTGACATATACCAGATTAAAAGTGAAAATTTAAAACAAAATAATAATACAAAAATTCTTAAAGATAAAGCGCACGCACCCGCTTTACAAGCAGAAAGTTGATAAATATGTTAAATAAACAAATTAAAAGTAAAGTAGTAAAATATTGTTGAAATAAAACACTGTAAAGACAAATTAAAAGTATTTAGTTTTCACCTTTCCAAACTTGTGTTTGAGTGACAGTCCGGCGTTCCTGAACGCTGCGACGATGTCCGACCGGAAGTCCTCGATGAAAATGCCGATGTCGACGTCTCGACTGTACGAGATGATGCTACACTGCCTGAACCAGCCTGCAGGGGGAGACACGACGCTCTAAAGTCAAACAGCTCACTCTTTATACTTTTATAGAAGAGACACGGTGACGTCGTTCTCTTCTGTGTTTGACGGGTTGAAGTCCTAACACGTCGTTTATCACGTCTAAATATGTCAAAGTGAACATCGGGAGCTAACGGATGTTTCTATCAAGTCTAAATATATCAAAGTGAACATCGGGAGCTAACGGATGTAACGGATATTTCCATCT